CCTTGTTTTCAGGCTTTCAGGCTGAAACGACCCAGGGCCTGAAAATGCCCCTCGTTTGCACGCGCAGCATGTAACAGCTGCCTTGCATGTGGTATCCCCCCCTGTGGTATCCCCCCCTGTGGTATCCCCCCCATAGCCTCAGAAATTAGGGTTTAGGGTTTCGGGTCTGAGGTTGGAAACTATTGATGGGCAAAAAATGAAGCATTGTCAAATAGGTAACTATAAATAGCAATGACTAAGGGGTTGGAAAAGTCTTGATGGGCAAAAAACGATTGTCAAAAAGATAAATACAAATAGCCATGGGAGGGGGAAAAAAAAAAAAAAAAAAGAACACCACCAAATAGCAATGAGGGGGGAAGAACAGACAAAGACAAAACACAGAAATGCTCTCTTCGAAATTTGGAACGAGGAAATGCCTTGTCTCTGAACGTACCTGGATGGTGAAGATGACGCCATGCATGCTCTGTGCGGGGCTGCCACGGTGGACATCAAGGTACATTCTCACAGGGCCTGGGTTATTATTTTAAATTTTGGTTCGGTCCGTTTGGATGTATTCTTTGAAAGGTGTCCATTAAATTTAAAATTGTCTGCAGAGGGGTGCAGTGAACACAGCACTGAAAGTTTATGTTTCCTTTTCTTTCTCATATGTGTGTGTGTGTGTGTGTGTGTGTGTGTGTTCTTTTTCATGTGGTTACTTACCAAAAACTTGGCATTGCTGTCATTCCTGCCGTTGATCTTCTGGATCATAATAATTAAATAATGTGGTTTTGCTGTTTGCTTGAATCATGGGTTGTGTAGGAGAGAAGGGGAGATGGGAGAAGGGGAGATGGGAGAGGGGAAGATGGGAGAGTGGAGAGAAGAATCTGGTCTCTCTGCAGGTCAGGACAGACTGCTCATTATCAAGAAGGTTATCTGTCTTTTGGAGGATGCAATGATAAGCCATCTTACTCACCTCCAGTTTTCTAAACACAGATGTCGAATTCTCTTCGATGAATTGAAGGACTGACTTCACATTCAACTTCTTGGGGAAAAAAAAAAGATTGCAGCTGAAGTGAAGAGAGCGACCTCAGGCAACAGCCATGGAAGGTAAGGTTTGCGAACATCGAACATCCAATCATCCCTCTTCTTCTTCTTGTTCTTTTTTTTCTCATAAATTAATTTGGACCATACCTCAGTCAACAGCCATGGAAGGTTAGCGCACATCCAATCATCCTTTTTTTTTTTTTTTTTAATTTAATTTGGACCATTCTTTGTTCCGAAGGACACACATCTGATCATCCTTATCCTCAACTCTTGGCCATCTTCCCCATCGCCAGTTTTCTAAACACAGATGCGGAAATTCTTTTCCATGAATCGAAGGACCGATTTCACGTTCAACTTCTGCGTACAGAGCAGCGCTGATGTCTAGAGAGGGATCTCCGTATGCCTTGGGGCCCCCTGAACCGGGCCTGCTGTTATTTGGCGAGTTGCATTCCTGGTCATTTGCACGGTGTATGGTGTTTCCTTTTTCACGTCCCCCTTCTCCCCCCTCACCCC